AACCCAAGTGGTCCACCATAATTTGCAAATAAAGTCTTTAAAAATCTGACAATGTGATTTTCTGGATTTTGTTTTTCTCATTTTGTCTCTCATAGTTGAGGTATACCTAGGATAAAAATTACAGGCCTCTCTCATGTTTTTAAGTGGGAGAACTTGCACAATTGGTGGCTTACTAAATACTTTTTTGCCCCACTGTATATGCTGCTTATAATGAACGTTAAGAAACACGTGAGTTGTCTGACTGAAATGTGTTTGTGGTTTGTCTGATGTAGAGCCCTGTGAAGAGACTTCCTGTTGCTTTGTGACAGACGATTAAGTCTGATCTCATGTGAGCTGCATGTACGAGCACAACGTTAAACATTTAAAAAATCTTTTAACATGTTCCTTTCTTTTTCTAGGTGAGCTTAGCGTATGCATATGAGACCAAAGACGCTCTGTGTCTGGTGCTGACCATCATGAACGGGGGGGACCTGAAGTTTCACACCTACAACATGGGCACGCCGGGCTTTGAGAAAGACAGGGTCCAGTTTTACGCTGCTCAAATCTGCTGTGGACTGGATCATTTGCACAAGGAATCCATTGTATACAGGTAGCACTACTAAATCTATAAACCCTCTCAAAGGCCTTTTAAGATGTCCGCATTCTTGATCTTTTTATTGTGTTGTAATGCTATACTGACGTTCTTAACAAATGCTGTGCTTTTTGCAGGGATTTGAAACCGGAGAATATCCTGTTAGATGACAATGGTGAGTGTTGGCTTAGATGACTGTTGATGGCATTGCACTGCCTTTGTTCTACTCAATTTTCAAACTTGTTTATGGCTTCATATCTCCCTGAACTCGTGAAAATGCATCCTAATCACCTCTGTTATGCTGCAGGACACATCCGTATTTCTGACCTGGGGCTGGCCATCAAAGTGCCTGAAGGAGAACTCATCAGAGGCAGGGTGGGGACTGTAGGCTACATGGGTAAGAAACACTATTATCAACATTTCAATGAGTAAAATTTCCTACAAATGTACCAACTTTCATCCATATTAACTTGTCGCCCTTCCTCTCCAGCTCCGGAAGTTGTAAACAATGAGAAGTACGCGATGAGTCCTGATTGGTGGGGGCTGGGCTGTCTCATTTACGAGATGACTGCAGGGCGATCGCCTTTTCGTGCCCGCAAAGAACGAGTAAAACGAGAGGAGGTGGAGAGGAGGGTGCAGGAGGAAGAGGAGGAGTACAGCGACAAATTTACAGAGGACACCAAGGCCATCTGTAGAATAGTGAGCATGGACTTTTTTTAAGACCAGATTCAACGTAACTTAACTCCGCTGTGCATTTGGCCTGTGAATAGCATGATTGACAACAAAGTAAATCTTCAATCGTCGATCTAATTGAATGACTCTTTCTCTGCTTCTCCTCACCCAGCTGCTGACCAAAGACCCTAAGCAGAGGCTTGGGTGCCTGGCGGACGCAGCAGCGGACGTCAAGCTCCACCCGTTCTTCAGAAGAATCAACTTCAAGAGGCTTGAGGCTGGAATAGTGGAGCCACCCTTTGTGCCTGATGTGAGCCATTGATAGTACACTGCACAAAACATATTCTAATACTCAACTTTTTCTTTATTTGGATAAAGGAACACCACCCATAAATTGATCATTTGTATATCAATTACTATGTAAGTTAATGGAGTCCGCATTTAACAATAAACCTATATCAAATAACGCGTTTAGAAACGTTCATAACCTCAGTTGTCCAGTTGTATGCTCACTACTTAATTAAATGCTTTAGCTTAAACATTACTCGCATTGATGAGCAGCACGCCTGTTAATACCATGAAGGCATGCGGAGAAAAAAAAAAGGTTTTCACCTATAATTTGGCAAAATGGAGTGGGTAATTAATAGACAAATGGTAATTTCGTGGCTGTAGTATTTCTTCTTCTTCTAATGGTCTAAAATGGACACTACAGCAAGTACAGTTTGATGATTATAAATGATCTGTTTGGATAAACTTGTCTCCTTTTTTTCCTCTTAATCCCCATTTTTCCCGTGGTCATTGGCCTCTCTCAGCCTCGGGCAGTGTACTGTAAGGACGTTTTGGACATAGAGCAGTTCTCCACAGTCAAGGGAGTAAATTTGGACCAAACTGACAATGACTTCTACTCCAAATTTACTACAGGCAGTGTTTCCATCCCATGGCAGAATGAGGTAAGTGTGTGCACTTAATATGACATCTTTAAATGCTTGGTTCCAAAAAACCTCACTTAACAAGGTTCACCATTTTTTTTTTCCTCCTTCCTTTCCCTCCTTTTTCCTTCCTGTCATTTAGATGATAGAAACTGAGTGTTTCAGAGATTTGAATGTGTTTGGGCCACAAGGGACGAGACCTCCAGATCTGGACTGGAGTCACCCGCCAGAGCCGCCCAGACGCAGCCTGCTGGACAGGATCTTCAGGAGGCATGTAAGTGATAAAACACACACACAAACACACACACTGATAAAAAGCCTGTCACAATAACTTCTTCTGTTGGACCATAATATGTCCCAGAAATATCTGTGATAAACTATATTACTGTCATTTTAAGACCAAAGTATTATATAGTTATAATAGTAAAGCAGAAAAAAAAAAGCGCTTGAAACTAATATATAAACAATATAAAATAAAACTACACAACCTACAAAGATTACTTCATAAATGTCGGGGACATTCTTGTGCTAACAAGCATGCATGTATACTCAAACTGCGAATACCAAGTTCAGTGATAATGATTGAAGTTGTCTCTGTTTATTGTATGATAACATGATACCATAAAAATAATGTCCGTATATCCTACCATAACTAATGACAGGCCTGCTGATAAAAGCTTCAGAAATCCTTTATTCATCCCGCAGCTGGGACCTTTACGGCGTTACAACACCAAAGGTGTAGTGCAGATGAAAGACAAAAGGAAACAAAATATAAACAATAAGTACACCTATGTAAAAAATATGTTTTAATGTTGTTAAAGTATGTGAACGTATAAAAGTATTGAAGAAGCCGGTGAAGTTAAATCCAAACTCACTCTCAAACCGATCTCTCTTTTTCTCTGCAGCACCCAGAGGTGCCTATTTCCCACAGCCGTGTGCAGTCTTCCAGTGTAAACTCTGTGGACTCCATGTCCAACTCTGCCCCCTAGTGGCACAGCGACAGTGTGGGAGCCACACACACACAAAGGGAAGGAGCTCCGAGGGGCTTCCCCGCTGCTGATTGGTCCACAGTCCCGGGCCTTAGCAGCAGCCGGAGACAGCCTGTCTAAAAGCCTAAATGGTCAGCCCATGGGTGGGGGGTGGGATGGGGTGGGGGGGAGTTGTGACCAGGCCCTGAGACCCAGGGCATTTGTAGTGGGATGGTCTATGTTGCGAAGACGTTTGAAAATATTTGGACAAACTTTACTTACCCTCAGGATTGTTGGACTAATAGAACAGAGCCACTGACGCTTAAGGAAACAGAAAAGGATAGAAACATGCTTATATTCAGGGGATCCACTGTAAAATAAAGACCACCACAGGGAATAGACGCTGGGGTCTTGGTGAATTCTTTTGTTTTTCAAGAAAAGGAATTTCATTTTCACAAATTTTTCAAATATTTTACTTTCTGGCCTGTATCTTGTATCTCTCCATCTACCTACATGCTTCTCTTACTCTATAACTCGTTTCTCTCTCTCTGCATTTCCACCTCCCATACCTCAAATCACTCCTAAACATTCAGAACACATCACCTCAACAAACCTCAACACATAATGTACATTGCCTTGCGTACACTCAGGCCAAAGATTACAGTTAAGTTTTGTGATACTGTTGTCATGTTGATTTATTGTTTGTTTTTTCTGCCATCATTTAGAACCACAAGAGGATCATAACAGGCGATCCGTTTTTTCTAAACTTCCTCTCTATTTATGAGCCTGCAGACATATCATATTGCTTAAAGCACACATACATCCAGTTCATACATACACAATCAGATAGACGTACACAGACAGACTTGTGAGAATCGTGTTGTGTTTTCATTGCATGGACAAAGTGTAAGTATGGACAGCTGTATCCCTTTCGCTTCTGCAGACCTCATTCCATTGATGTTACCATCGTATAACGTACAACACAGACGTCTCCCTGGGTTTACAGTGTCACTTTATATTTGACATTATGTGGAAATGAATTAATATGCTGTACAGAAACAGAAATATCTTCTTCTGTTGTTGTTCTTTTTTTTTGTGCTCTTTTTTCTTGCACAGTCCCAATGGAGTGGAGAGGAACACATGCACTCAGCCTGACTTACAAGTTGCACAATTTAAAACGTCATGCTGTTTCTTCATCAAATGTTTTTACCTCTGAACATTAAGGCACATTGTTGTATTGATATTGTCACGCACCGCTTGTTTTCTACATTCAAATCTGAAGTGTTCTTGCTCTCCCTTATGCCTTTTCCATTTATAGGATATTGCTGCATAGCCCTTGTTGTCACATGTACAGGTTTTTTATATTTTGCCCCTTTACACTTAACATGCTGTTCAAAATGCCTCAGAAATCTAAAGGGCCTTCCTCTTGATACACACAGGGTGCAGCTATGCGAAAGGTTAGTCTCATCTGAATTTTAATTGTCATCAATTATCCCTTTAATGGTCTTCCAAACTGATTAAAAGAGAACAATTCAAGCTCTTTTTGGTAGAAGTACGTTAGATCAACCCCCCTCAGCAGATGTACTTTTTGTAGTGAACTGACTTTTAGATTTTTTTTTAATGTACTTTTAGATGGTTAGAAGAATTATGTAAATGAACACCACCAAATATGTCTATTGATGTATGTAATTACATTTTAAATCATGCTCCACGAATCAGTGGACATTTCCATAACCTTAATGGTAAGGTTTTATTTTATAAAACCATTTATTTCTCCCAAATAAACGCATTGATTTTGGTAAAGGTTTTCTGATTTTAAACTTTTGTCACTATAAGAAATCAGTTATTTCACTGAAAATGTGTTGAAATATATCAGTTTAATGTTTTTGACTTGTACCCTCACTCTTTAAGAAAGACAGATTGACTGAATTGGATTACGTTTTTTGTTTTAAATTAGTTTCTGTGTGGGACCATTAAAGGGTTAATCTAAGTAATTTATGTCAGAACTGAGGAGAAGACACCATATGATCCTGTAAACACCACACAAAGAAGTGGCCTTTTCGCAGCAGCACAGACATTTAAAAGAGAGAAAGACCTCACTCTTGTGCTTGTTTTAAGAATATGGTATCTTGTGTATTTGAAGTAGTGAAAGCTGGTCCATGCAGTCATTTTAATCGGCCTAACAGATCTCACCCAGGCCTGTTTCTCTCTGCGTACTTGATATGAAAAAAAAAAAAATCTGATTCAGACTGAAGTGCCTCCTTGTTAGCATGATCTCCCAGACAATGCCCACACAGACATCAGCACTTTGTTTATTCTCTGACCGTCATGCTCTGTTTGTTTCGCTGGGAACGTGTCAACACAAACACACACACAGACTCACACAGTCTTTTCAGAAGTGGAGGGAACGAGGTGTGTCGATTCTTAATGTGATAGCAAAGTGCTGAGTGCATGTGAAAGCCAAACCCACTGTGTCCTATAGTCCCAATAAACTCTGTGCTATAGTTTGAGTATCCACAGTTTGTCCGTGTCTTTTGTTTTCTTCTGTCCTTGAGACCACACAACATTTATTTGGTCATAGTCAAAAGCGTGTAAATGATTGGAGATATTATTTTCCTTCATAGTTCTTCATGTCAGTGGAACAACAGGCAGCGCAGCTCTCATTGCTAGAGGCACAGTACTCTACAGTTTTTCAATACCTAAATATCATGACCATTTTCTATTATGAAAAGAGACATTAGGGATACAACATATCCTCACAGTTACATTTAAAGACAGCTATTGGGCAGTTACATCATAAGGTTTCGAGAGTGCAAAATATAGACCCCTTGTTGTAAATTACAGTTAACCTCTTAGACCCCACGGACCCTTCGGCGGGTCCGAAACCACAACATCTGCAAGCAACAGTGTTTGAGGGCTTCTTAAGATGTAATAAACTATGAAAGTTTCATATCCATGTAACGGGAAGAAACTCAGCTAACTGATTTTTTTTTTTTTTTGCCAAAAAAACACAAGGCTAACGCTAAGCCTCTGTATTAGCCCTGTGCGAAAAAATCTTAAAGCTGTTAGCACAGAACTCTAGCTATACCGATCGATATACTAATTGGATCTGCACAAACAAGCTTAGATAACATCCTGAGAGTCCACAGATTATAGAAGTATAAGTATCATCACTGAGCGATCAGAACTCGTGACAGGGGAAGCAAATACAGACAACACACGACCTAGCTTTAGGTAGCAAAACACGGAGATAATGCTCACCTTAGCTGTTATCTGATCAAAAGTCATGTTCAATGGCATTAAAACGAGAAAAAACGCGGCTGAAGATTAATCCAATGTGTCCGTCACTTTAATCCAATGGCTCCGTCACTTAAATTATTGATAATCCATAATTCAATTTGTATGCAAAAATCGGAAAATAAAAATTAGCTGCTAATGGTAGCCACCAGAGTGTGTTGCAGCTCCGGTTTTGGCTACGTGTCACTCTCACTCCTTATTTGGTAACCTGTGTGTTTATGTGGAACTTTCCCTCGATTCCATTGGCTCTAGCGGTTAAAAAGAGATGTCAATCATCAAAATCGACCAATGGGTTCCAGAGAAACGGCAAAAACGCCCATTTCCACCCAAATGGAATGGCCACAGAGGTGGAGTTTTTTTTGCTAAACCTCTCTAAAAAGGTCAAATGTCACTTGTTTTCCATCAATCTTGATACAGGGTACTTATTATATGTTGTACTTTGGATTCCTAAAGCTTTTAGTCTACTAACCCATCATCGAAGGGTAGTTTTCAGTATAAGTAAAAAATAATTTTTGGAAGGACACTATACATTTTACAGTTTTTTACTATGTTCAATCTGAATTTTCTTTAAGCCTCCTGGAATATTTATTATCTGAATACATGTACATGTATTAGAGGAAGATTATATTTGCATTACTTTCAAATAAGACAAATGACCCATTGTAAGACTATTATATTGCAAATGAAATCCAGAGTCAGGTGCAGACGTGGGACGAGACAAATAAATACTTCAATAACTATGGATAACTCTATGGACTATTCTAGTCTGAAACCATAAGTGCCATAAGAGAGTACAATTTAAAGGAGCTAAACACAAACAACCTTTTTTTTAATACATTTCAGCACTGAAATAAATTCATTTGTCTGCACATATAGAGTTAAAATGCTTACAGAAAGGCACTTACTTCTCAGGGACACATTTTTAATAACCTTCTCCAGGTTCTTAAACCAGTGTATCCACATTAGATTAATGGAGTTTGCTCCAGCACTGAGGCTCATTAAAACATAATGCTGCTCTTGTCAAATTGGGAGTCATTAGAAACAAGCATATGACCCACTTTGGGTGCTGATTCTTTGTCTCAGAAAAAAAAGAGCTTTACAGTACCAGAGACATTGGTCCTGTCCTCTGCAGCTGAGTAATGTGTCAGAGAGTAGGCTAGAGTGTGTGTTATTAAACGAGAAAACTCCCCCTGCAGAAGGCCACAGCGACTGATGGATAATTCATGCCATCTAGCCAGATAGGGCGAGGTTGCAGGTTAAGGTGACTTCAGTATTTCTTGGGGATTTATTAATCTGTTCCTGTTATCTCTGCTCACTTATCAGATGACCTGCTACCCTCATGACAGGTTTCCATTCCTGTGGTCATGTGCACTGTTGACTCTGAGTGCAGGTCTGACATGCAGCTTGCTGAGGCAATGTTGCTGTTAGATAGTTTGGATTGGTCTTGGACGGAGTTAAAGCAAGGTTGTGAAAAGAGGCTTGATAAAACATGTTATTAACAGATGGTTACGTTTGATGATTAGGCAAGACTTTTGGAAAAACTTCCAGAGGGTGATTCATTCTCACAACACAATAATTAAGGCTGGTGTTTAGATGTCGGTAATATGAAAAGTGATGTGTTTGAAAAATCAAACCGCAATGGAAAAACCGACAGGGTCGCTGTTGAACAACATGAACCCTCACTGAGTACTTTTGTTTGACCTACACTTTCAAAAGGAAACTTGACTGAGCTTACTGTACATGATTGTTTACTGTAATGACCTGTTTTCTGGATCATTATATCCATGCACATAAGAAATCATAGCAATTACGCAAATATGTAAGAGAGAAAAAATATATTATCTAAGAAAATAGTCTTCTAATGTTCTTTTAACCAAAAAAGTAAATGCTAACAATTATTAATTGTAGTGCAGTAGAAACATATAGAGGCAGGATATGGCAATAAGTAAAGTACAAGTATCTTAAAGGGGCCCTATTATGCTTTTTGGGGTGTACCCTTTCCTGTAGTGTAATAAAGGTCTTTGTGCATGTTAATGGTCTAAAATCCCAAAGTTCCCCACTATGTAACAATCGCGTGTCTATATAACGCTCCAAAAGATTGTACCTGATGGCTAAGGGGCGGGACATCTCTATGCGTTTGACAAATCACAACAGAGCCGGCCAGCTAACCAATCAGAGCAGACTTGGCTCTGGTTTCAGACAGAGGGTGAAAAGAGGTGCTGCATCACAGGCAGTATAAGAAAAATAAATACCTTTTTGAACATTAAAGCATAATATGAATGTAATAACTGGTCACAGCAACACAAATGTATTCTCTAGAACTCCAAACAGAAAAGTAAATAAGTCCAATTCTAATGCTGACTTCTTATATATCAATACAAATATCGTGTTTATGACCAAAACCAGTTTTAATCAAGGTACAACACTGCGTGATGTTTCTTTTTTGTGGCTGTTACATAGGATCTCAGGTTTCAATGACCCCAAACAGAACATTAGGGTTAATGACTGCTCATTTCCACTCAGTGATAATGAAAGCAGCTTCTAGCTCATACTAAGATATCAATCATAAAAGGGAAGAACCAAACCCAGTGTAAATCTTTTTGCCCTCAAATTCCAATGAGGTTTTAGGTTGTCATGGACCATTAAGGAATGTATGAGTCACTCAGGGTCTCTCCCGATGACCTCTCTCTTGGGCACCCTCAGTCCCGAAGTCTCTCATATCTCACACTGGTATGTGGATGTTTGTGAGTGTTTGTGTGAGTGTTTGTGTGTGTGTGTGTGTGTGTGTGTGTGTGTGTGTGTGTGTGTGTGTGTGTGTGTGTGTGTGTGTGTGTGTGTGTGTGTGTGTGTGTGTGTGTGTGTGTGTGTGTGTGTGTGTGT